TTCATCTACATCTTCACTAGTAAGTTCATCATTTTTATTTAATCTTTTTAAAAAAGATTTAACATTTTCATCAATCCTCTTTTCATAATATTCTTTACACCATTTACAAGTCTTTCCTACCTATAAAAAATTTGTATATGGAAATTCTGTATGAATTATAATTTTTATTGCTATGAAATGATTATTATCCCTTAAACTGGCTATTGTACAAATTTGTACAATTAAATTTTTTTATATATATACAAAAACATCAAAAGATTTTAGCAGGGATGCGCAGTGAAATTTTTTGTGAAACTTTATTATTATTAAATTTGAGATTCTCACATATGTTAATTAAATATTAATTAATTGCTTTTGCCACTTTTAATTAGGCCAAAACCTCTCTGGTTCATCCAAAGAAGGCACTCTGCTCATACTATGCATACTTGGCCAGGCACAAACATATTTTCATTGATGTTGACAGTTGCATGAGATAATGTCAATCTTTGGGTTTTGTGAGCAAAGGCATTCATCATCAGGAAATTTTTTCTAATGTGGATTTGCATAATTATTACACTGTTTATGTAAGTTTACAGTGGGCCCTGTAATGTTATGCAAAAATTACATTCAGTGTAAATATTACATAATTTTTTATGCAAATATTACAACATTGCATATTAAAACTTATTGATGTAATATTATGGTGAAAAAATTTACTGATGATTCTGCAGAATATTTGCTCAGTAAACTTGTTGGTGATAATAATGGATTATACAGCAGGTCATATTGGATTTATTAGATGTATATTACAAGGAATTGATAATTATTTCTCATATATATAGAAACACAATATATGAAACTACTACTGATTCACAAATAATGGGATTTGCATCTATCAATGCTTTTTTAGTAAAATTCCGATTTCTTGTTTCTTATATGTTTTGCTATTCTCCTTTAAATATCTCGAAACTTTACTATGGTTGGCTCAGTCTAAAGACCTCATATTGCTGCACCATGTGGCCAAATTTCAAAATATATAGCAATTTTGTAATTCGTTCAAAAATGTAAATTTTTTAAAAAAAAGGAATTCACGTGATTTTGACTTTCTTATTGCCAAATTTGGATACGATAGTCAAGAGCTAGTCTAAATTTGGTAATTATTTTGATCATAGTGGACAAATCCCACGCGAGCATAGTAAAGTACATGTTTTAAAAAAGAATAGAACTCTACAACAAATAATTTCTTTGAGAAAATCTCTATATTACATTAAAACTAAAGTCATATTCTATCAACTAATAGTGCTATTTTTTTAAAAGGTGGACAGAAAGTGACTTCTATACTTTTAAAATTTGCCCAAAATTTAGGAGGTCTTTAGACCAAGCCAACTATAACCAAAGTGGGTATAGTTCCTAAGCCAAAATTAACCCTTGCGAAAATTGCATATAGGAATAGTACTATATAATGACAATATTTGAAAACTATTTGCAGCAGTTGTAGTTATTTGTGGCTGCCGATCTATTTATGGCAAATGGTAGCTACCAACAGCTATTTATGGCCAGCCCAATTACAGCAAATGTCTTTTCATTAGATGATAGAGAGGTAATATCAACTTTAGGAGGAGTGACTCTTTCATAACACATGTTACACCACCTACAGAATTTCAGGATCAGAGATATCATCTATTCATTCTATACCATTACCAATATTTTTTAATCTATTTATACACAAAGATGGAATCCAGTATCAATATATCCTTCCTTGGTATTATCTAAATCAAGGCCAATCAAGTTCATATTATCATTTTTATTAGGCAAGATTCAATAATTCTACCAAATAACAACAATGGTGGAGGAGAGAGCAATGACAGTTTAATATTATGGAGGTTAACATTACAGATGACAAGTGATTTGATAGATTTAATGTATAAAGAGGGTGAAATACCATTGAAAAGATTGAATGCAACAAGACCAAGATTTGATTATTTAGATTTAAATATATTTGTTTTGTGGTTTAATTAAATTGAAAAATTTATTTGTTAATTTAGTTTTAATTTAATAAAGGATGTTATTTGATTTGTACAAGTTATTTTTATGTTGTATTAATTCCTATAACATTATTTTTTTGTGCTCTTAATATTCATTAATTATTTCTTGTGTGGTAAATAATTGGTTTCACTAATTGGTTTCTTTATTAAAAATTTTTTTTAACATTGTTAATAATTTCAATGATTGTAATAATTGTATTTTTAATATTATTACCACAATTATTGATAAATTAGGCCGTTTTGGTTTTTTTAATACCATAATTCATCAGGTGGTAAATTTGTATCATCAGATAATATGGTAAAGAGCAGAGAATGCCAACAATTACAATCATCTGGCTCTTCAAATCTACCAATGAGTTCTTCCAATCTAAAGGAAAAGAGAAAACCAATTTTAACTGATAGAAGTGAAAAAAAAATTTTTTCTTTTCTAACAATGTTGAATTGTATCCATTTTCTTTATTTGAATTCCATTTTCTTGCCAATTATACAGGTGTTCCATAATGCACTACATAATGAGGTGTACCAACAATATGGGAAACACAATACAGTTGATAATGAAACCCTTTTAATATAATTCATCCCATCAACAATTACTAAATCATCTTTTGAAACCAATCTTTCAACAGGTGATAATAACGTACCACAAGCTCTTTTCTTCTACTCTAGTATCTTTTTATTAGAAATAAATTAAGAAAATTAATGTCACATAAACTATTTATTGATTATCTACATAATGATGATTTATCTATATATATAGTTAATATTACCTTGATAACTATCTTTAACAATCCCGAATTTTATCATTAATTAAGTTTACATTTATTGATCTTTAAATTTATCAATAAAATAATTTTTAATTTAATTTGATCTTATTGTTTTGTCACTTGAAGGTATGCCACAAATAATTATCAATGGCATTTTCTTTTATAAAAAAAAAATTACCAGAAATTTTGTGATACTTTAAAGTTCCATATTTGTTTGATTCATAAATCAAAATTTATTTATTATGCAATTTTATCCTTGATATGTTACAATATTATTAACTGTTTCATATATTTTAATTTCAAATAATCTATAAGATTTATCATTTGGTAAAATATTTATCATACTATCCCATATAAATACTGCCAAATTTTCAGTTGTACTATTATAAAATTAATAATAAAAAAAAACAAATTTTATTTTTTATTATATTAATTTTTTCTCTAATAACAATAATAATTTGCCAAATATTATTTAATGATTATTTTGATGTTCAAAGTTTTTAAATTTTTTATTTTTACCTTGGAATATTTTTAAAATATGGAACATCTAAATCCTTTAAAAAATTGATTAGGTCAATTAATATATGGTGTGAATGTATAAATGTACAAATAAATAATAAATCAAATCCAATTTTACCAAATTTTTATGATCTAATTTATCCATTATTGCTATTCTCATGTAATCTTTTAAATCTTTTAAATTCATCAACATCCCTGTTTTTGAATCAACCTAATAATAAAATAACAAATTAATATTATTTTAAAGAGATCATTTATTGAATTACTCATAAATAATATCTACCTCTCCTTTGATTACTACTTCAACTAGTTAGCAAAGATCATGTTATTTAGTTATTAATTATACTATTTTATTCTTTATTTTATAATATTATTACCTTGATAATTATGCCCATGTCCATTAATATTATTGCATTTACCATATATTTCTTTATTTTCTTCGGCAGTTAATTCAGCAGAGTTCAATCTATGAGCTGCAGAAAATGTTTCAATTCTACTTAAACAAACAATTTTGCCCATTAAAATAAATTAAAAATTACTTCGTGCAACGCTCCAAGAGATAAAGTTAGAGGAACACCATAAATCACATGATAATTATGACGGCGCTCTTCCAAATAATGAAAACCCTAAATAGTCTGTACTCGGAAAACTTTTGATATACCAAAAATTCGTTGTACCACAAGAGCTTTTGATTAATAAATTTCTCGAACAAAAAGTCGTTGAAACAAGATTTGTTGAGACGAGATTTGACTGACAGTGGCATTATTCTTTTAAAAAAATATAGTTTTATACAGAATATTAAGTAATGTTTTAGTTTTACGCAGTTTTATATATTGAATAATCATGTGACATGTTTCAAATTTGGAAATTTTATTTTTAAAACTAGATTGTAATATTTTTATTTACACATATATAATTGTATAAAAGAGCAAAGCAATTTTATTTCAAGAATTGTGTTGTCAAAAATAAAGATAATCTTGTTGCTGGGAGGATGAGATAAAATATAATGGCAAATCAGTGTAGTGGGTCAATACATGAACAACCATTTGCCATTGGAGGTCTGTTGCTTAACTATTATTATTATTATTATTATTATTATTATTATTATTATTATTATTTGATCTTTATATATTTTAGGAAGTGGATATACATATATTTGTTGTTAAAGTAATTCTGTTTATAATAAAAATATGGGTTGTGAAGAAGCAACAGAATTTGTGAGAAATGGTCGGTGGAATTTTGTTGACTATTAATAGGAAATAAATAAATAATCATTAATAATTGGAAAAAAATCTTTTTAATTATATTATGAGGTTAATTATTGATATAACTTTTCATGGAACCAATTTTCTAAATCCTTATTCTCTATGTTTTCTTATTCAACCCAAATAAAATTTTAACAATTATTTCAACAGCAAATTGAACACCTTTAACTTCTACAAGCTGTTGAAAATGACTTGGTATTTGATCAATTATATTAAATACATCTAATGTCTTCCCTAATAATATTTGAATCAAGTAATCATTGTATTATTTAAATGACAATCTTTAATAAATTGTTCTTGGTGAGAAAGTAAACTTACATTGATGTGACATAATCGGTATGAGTGGTATTAATTTCAAGTCAGTAATTATAACACGACCTAATGAAGTTAAGCTCAAATTCCATACAAACAATAACTCAGGATAATTTTTACTAAAGTAATATTATATAATAAATATAATAATAAAAAATTAGATTTTAAATTAATAAATCATTTTATTATTTCTTGTTTAAATGAAAACCCAAACCTTTTATCAGAAAATTTCAAAAAATTATTTATTTCTACATTTATCTCTTCTTGTTTGTTAAATTCTTGTAAAGGTGGTGATAAAATCATAGAGTCCGTTATCAATTTTGAATATTTTTGCTTTAAATATTTAAACAATTGTGTACGTTGTTGGTTTATTCTTGCATAATTGACAATTCCTTTGAATAAAACATGAATATTTCGGTTTTTCTCTGCACTATAACAATAATTTATTATTGTAATGTTATATGTATGTTTATGTGCACATGTGTGTATTTTTTACCTTTCAAAAAAACCTCCTATTTCTCGTCTAATTGCCTCATTAATCATAATCTTAAGACTTTTGATAATCGAATCAGACATGTACACTTCAAATTCAACCAAAAAATAAATTCCATATGTTTTTGCATATATTTGTTTTTGAAAAACATCATTTCCATCACCACTTCCATCGGTTATTAGTTCACTTTTAGCATTAATTAATTCAATTTTATTTAACGCTGCTAATTCTTTAATCTAAATTTTTAAAAATTCTTTTTAGAAAAACAATAAATTGTTGGAATAGATTTATAAGAAAACACACCTTTGAAAAAATCATATCAGTATTTTTGTTATTTACGCGAGTGAGAATTTTTAAAAAAATGGCACAGTCTTTGAAATATGACGTAATAACTATTAACTATATATATACAGTAATAAAATTCAACACAACATAATGGTGATCGGTCGATCCATAAAGAAATTGATTGGATAATTTTATAATATGCCGATCGTTACTAATTAATATTGCTTAATTCAGCAAAAACGTTAGCGTGAAAGCTCTTGCTATAATTATATTAATGACAAGTTCTTCAATTTACCATCATGATTATTATTATATTTGTAGTCCTACCCTAAGCCTAGAAACATCATCATCTTTAAATGGTTTAAACACTGTTAGTTTTCAAACTCATACTAAAAAAAGAAAAAATTTACGAAGAGAAAGTAAAAAAAGGAGTATTGCTTCTTTTAAATGAAACTTCATCAGAATAAGGTTGTGTGCCGAAACACTTCTTAGTGACTGCCAAAATTCTGCCAAGAATCTAATAAATAATTAGTGCGTACCTTGCCAAACCCCCAAATGAAAATCTCTAATAAACAATTAGTGTGTAACCTGCCAAAGCTCTGCAAATTGATTTCTGGAGGGGTTTCGGCAAGCAAACCATATACAAGAAGTTCAAGATATTAAGAATCTAGCTAATTACAGTAGGGATTACTTTTTGATGAAATAACCAAAACATTTTTTGGTAAAATTGATAGATATTTGAATGAGACAATAATACCAGTTCCTGATGAAAATATCAATATTATTATTATTATCCCTCCCTACTTTTGTAGGATAAAGCTTTAGCCTTTGGGAAAATGTGCGCATGTGGTGGGTTTTGTTTGGAGTATGCTCAAATAATACTAATGAAATTCACATGAAAATCTTCTCAATTTGGAAATTCATTACAACAAGAAATATTCGTGAATTCGAATTCTTTTAAAATTTTAATTAATGAATCATATGCGAAATAAATTAATTCTTGTTGTTTAGTGATAGATAAATTTTAGAACATTGCATAATTTTTTTTTAATGGCTTCACAAATTGGAGTCGAAATATTTGGGCATACTTCTTCCTACCAAGATATTAATCATCATCGTCAATCTTCTAACGAAGATCATGAAAATATCCGTTCCTCGATACCTTCTTCCATTTCCTCCTTAGTATGTGGTGTCAAATCAGTAGCTTTTGATGTATCATATTATTGGGTCAAGGTATTTAAATTAAAAAAATTGTGTGAATTTATCCAATTCTTTTAATTTATATTTATTAAATGTAGAGGTTATATGATTGTTTCTTATCTCCTCAAGACCAACAATCGTATTGCAAACATTTAATGGAAATTGCTACAAATTATGAGCAATGGTCTGAAGCAGCTACAATTTTGGATCAATCACAAGGTATTTTTGAAAATACAAACATAAATAATAAAAAGATGGGCTTGGATATTCGTTAATAAATAAATATTTTTAAAGGAAAAGATCAATGGAAAAATAATATAAGCTCACCTGATTATGATTATGAATTATTGCAAAAAAGACTTGCTCAATTAAAAAAAGCTCGTAAAACTGGTGACTTATCACAAATGATTTTTTTATTGAGGACTTCGTTAGCAAGAAATCTTGGTGATATGGGTCAACCAAAAGTATCAATTATATTTCATTATTGTTTATTTAAGTTATTTATTTTGAAATTTAATTTTTTAAAAAATATTTGTAGTTGTATGCACACACTCATATAGGAACAAAGAGACTGATTGAGGCATATATAACTGAAGTTGTAAAACAAATGAATATTATTTGTGATACTGAATCAGATGAACTTTCTATTAAAGCTAAACTAGAATTTTTTACTAATACAAGACAATCATTTGGGAGAACAGCTCTTTTGTTAAGTGGAGGTGGAACGTTTGGACTGACACATATTGGAGTAATAAAGTGTCTTTATGAATGTAAACTTTTACCTCGAGTTGTTTCTGGTGCATCAAGTGGCTCCATCGTTGCAGCACTTTTATGTATTAAAACAGACGAAGAAATACCTATTACTTTGAAAGAATTAAATTCTCCTGAATTTGATTTGGTAAGAAAAAAATTTTTTTTTTTTGAAAAATATTTGTATATCCATATTTACATTTACATTTACATTTACATTATATATATAGGAAGTTTTTGAAAGATCAAAAGATCCTGATACATGGTCAAGAAGATTCCTTAGATTTTTAAAGCATGGAGTTGTTTTTGATATTGGAATTTTGATAGAAAGTATGCGTCATAACATTCCTGACATTACATTTCAGGTTTGTTTACAATACTTAATAATGATGTTGATATTAATTTTAATATTTTATTTACATATATATAAAATTACATATATGTGTAATCTACAGGAAGCATATAATCGTACAAGAAGAGTATTAAATATCACAGTTAGTTCTTCTACTGTTTATGAAATGCCAAGGCTGCTAAATTATTTAACTGCTCCTAATGTGGTAAGTAGTTATAAATTATCTACTTTTTACTTGTCTCTTTTTCCCTCTTTAATAAAAAAAATTAAGCTAATATTATATATTTATTAACTTTAAAGTTAATTTGGTCAGCGGTGTAAGGATTATTTTTTTTTTTATATATGCTATAGAGAATATTTCTTATAATTAACTATCATATTTATTTACATAATATTATAGTGCAGCATCTTGTTCGGTTCCATTCATATATAGTTCAGCACAATTGATGGCAAAAGATAAAACAGGAAAAATAGTTCAATGGAATCCTTCTGGTATTTTTTTATAGTAACATAATGATTTTGTTTAAAAAACAGTATTGTTTGAATTTAATGTTTTCTAGGTGCTCGATGGATTGATGGATCTGTAGAAAAGTAATTTATTTATTTTAAAATGAAAATATTTTTCATGAGTTATCACTTATAGTCGTTATTATTATTGTTAATTCATTAGTGATTTGCCAATGAACAAGCTCTCTGAACTCTTTAATGTAAATCATTTTATTGTGTGTCAAGGTACAACAAAGTTTATAAGATCATACACATATAAATATATAATTATAAATCCTTTATTTATTTATTTATTTATGTTACAAATTTCTTTTTGTTGTACAAGTAAATCCACACGTAGTTCCATTTCTACAAAAAAAATTGATTGCATCACCAATAAGTCGAGCAATTAAATGGTTTTTATGTTTGGCCATTTCCGAGCTACAGCATCGAATGAATCAGGTAATATTATATTATAACAAATATTTATATTTTTTTAAAAAATTATTTATTTGATTATTTTTATTTTTATATGGCAGCTTAGTGAAATTGGTGTAATGCAAAGTCTTATATATCGAGTTCAATCAATCATGTCACAATGTTATTATGGTGATATCACTATTGTACCCAATATCAGTTACATGGATTTTCTCAAGATTCTTTCCAATCCTTCACCTGAAATATTAGGAGAAGCTACATTGAGGGGTGAAAGGGCTACTTGGCCTAGTATGATGATTATGTTTTTTATTGTTATTACTGCTATTTTTATTTAGGATTATAAATTTATTTATTTTTTTTAATATTAAAAAAAAAAATAGAAATTTCCATTATACGTAATCATTGTCAAATTGAATTGGCATTAGATGAAGTGATCCATAGACTTCGTCGTCGACAACTAGATTCATCATTTATTAAGACTTCAAAAATTGTTATTAATGAAGATTTAGAACCTTTGAAGAATGGACACTTGGAGGGTGATAATAATAATAATAGGAAATTAGAAAAGGATGATGACGATGATAATAATGAACAATTGGAGAATGACAATAAGCAATCAGAAGATAGTTATAATAGTAGCAATAAAATTTCTTCTGGTAGAAAAATTAATCAGACTTTGGAAATTACGCCATGTTCAATCAATACTAACACACACTAATAATAATTATTATTATTATTAATATTTTTTCAATAAATTATATTTATTTATTTATTTATTTATTTATTTTATTTATTTGTATGATTGTAATGAATAAAATCATTAAATTTTATTAATTTTTTCTTGAAAGAAAAAATCTCTATTATGATTTAAATTATAATCGTTTATATTTATATTTGTATGTAATAATAAAAATTCTTTAAATAGATAATATTTCTTTTCCCCCCTCAAATAAAAACTAATTTCCTTAGAGAGGTCTCTGTTGATAATATTGTTGTTGATAAAATTCCGCTCCTTCTTTACCAACAACGTTTTGAACGCCTGATACTATTTTATCTTTTGTTAGTAATAATTGTTCGTTCCCTTTCTCCACATCAATACTAACATATAACCAATATAAGAAAATACAAATTGTAATATAAAATGCAAATTTAATAACTCCTATCACAGTTCCATAAATCCATCTAAAAATCATTTTTAAAACACAATATAAAATATATAAAAACGCAAAAAGAATAATCAATGCTGAAAAATCTGGATTGTGAGTGACTGTATTTAATTTATGATAAATTATTTGTGCATATTCCGTTGTATTAAATTCCAATATCATTTCATTTGCTTGATTCCATAATGATTGAGCAATAATTATAAATGAATCATACGTAAAATCAAACATCTTGATTATATATAATATGATTTATATATCTATAATGATGATATTATGATTAATGATGAATATGATTATTAATGATGATGATTAATAATGATTCTTTTAAATAATGAATACTTTAGATACAAAAAAAATACTCGAGTTATAATTTTTATTTATTATATCAAGTGTTACACCTACTTGTTACAGTATTGAAGATCTAGTCCCTTATATGGACATACTAAATATTCGTACTACAAAGAATTTCAAAAGAAACTTATTAGGCGCAATTAAATATAAATGAAGCGGCATTTTTACACTGTAGAACTTGCATATATACATTGGATGGTTATTGTTTTCCAAAAACGTAATGGGTAATGAAATTAATTACATTATTATTATTCAGAAATTAATTATGGCTGATGTGAAATCCATAAATTTATATTTTATATTTAAAAAATGAAATATGATTTTTACACTTTATAAAATACTTCAATTTAAGATTGTGGGCGAAACTCCTCCAGAAATCAATCGATCGAGTTTCGACAAGTTACACATTAATTGTTTATTAGAGTTTCGCATTTGGGGGTTTTGTCAATCGTCAGAGTTTTGACAAGGTACATACTAATTGTTCATTAAAGTTTCGACCGAGTTTCGACAGTCACTAAGAGGTTTCGGCAAGCAACTTTACTTCAATTTTTGTTAAACCATAAACAATATCTTGCCTTTGAAGTAAAAAAAAATCATTTTTAATGAAAGATATTGTCTCCGTGAGTAATTTTAAAATAAAACATGTTTTCTACGAACAGGCACTTTAATTATTTTAATTATTGTAAAAAATACAAGTTGGTTATTTTATTTATTTTATTATCCTAAAATGATGTTCTTTAAATATAAAAAATACATATTGATTGATATTTCGAGGACGAAAAGCAGTTAGATCACAAGGAAGCAATAAGATTGGCCGAACTTTCTGATAGGACGTTTTATTTAATTAATTCATTTTTATTTTTATTCAAATGATTGATCTAAAAATCATTACAAAAATAAACCAATTTTGACCAAGTGAAAAAAACACCAGGTTAATTAATTAATATTTCAGAGCTTTGTTAATAAGTAGAGGCAGAAATATTTATTATCATTAATTTAATTTGTTTGTAAAAGTAATTCAATAAATAAATAAATTCTTTGTTTTTTTTTATAAAAACACTTTTGTAGTTGGAAATTAAACATTAGGGTTTGATTTAATGATACCTGACGAAATGTTTTTGTAGGCGGGAAATTATTTCGTCACATTTGGCGAAACGGTAAATTGACGAAATGTGACGAAAAGAAGAAATGCGACGAAAAGGAGGAAATGTGACGAAAAGGAGATATTATAAACAATTCTAAAAAAATTTTCTTAACAAAATTCTTTCTTTTAAATTTAATATTCTTCGTTAAAATGTTACACGATAGTCAAAACTAATCAAGATGAAATCAATTTACGAATTTTCTGATAATAATTATGATCCAAGAGATTTAGTAAAAGATATCTTTGTTGAAGATGAATTTGAAAAGTGAACATAATTCAGAAAATAGTTATTTTCATGATTATTGTGGAGTTAATGAAACTGATAGAAATAATTATTAGAACAAGAATGTTATGATATTGACATTAATAATAGATAACAATTCTGAAATAATACAAATGAAGATGATGATAATAATTCTCAAAAATTAGTTGGAAAAAAATGCAAATCAGAAGAAACATAATTTACGTAGCTTATCCAAATTTGACTCAGACAAAAGAGTAAAATTTTCTCTTAATAATATTTTAAATGTAAAATATAAAGTTTAAAAGTTATTATTGCAGATTATTACAAAAATTTTCTTTGTGAAAATGGTTATATTTTTCTCTTTCATTATCTTTTTTTTTTCGTCAAATTTTTCTTTTCGCCAACTTTTCCCTCTTTTCCTTTTCGTCAATATGCTCTTTGCGGTAAATTACATTTCGTCAGTTGACTAAATTTCGATCATTTCGTCAGTTGATTGTTCATTTGGTTATTAGAGTGGTATAGAAAACACAATTTAAATAGAATTAATAGAATTGAAAGAGTAGTAGGAGAAATTAATAATTTGGAGATAGAGAATAAGGGATCCATAGCACAATATCATTTATTCATTAAACTTAAAGAAGAAACAACCATGAATTTAATGAATACATCTTCAACCTAGAATTTCAAAGATTTTTACTTTTTTACCTTTGGCCATTTGGTATGGGTGAAATATAATAATATGGATAATTTCAATTTTTGTCCAATAAAGAAAAAATATTTTAAAATGTAAATTTGATCAGTTTTTTTACCTTGAATCTCTGGGAAGCCAAAATGCGCTGTCGATGAAGTAAACGCGGCCGGGTTGGTCAGATAATTCCTTCCTCCGATACAAGTACATTCATTAACCTTGCCTGGAAATCCTCACGCTTCCTTTTTTTAACCCAACATTTATTTTCTAGTGTGAAAGAGTAGCAGATTTGATTCGGCAAAGTCGGCATATGATAATTGCTAGCTGTCTAAAATGCTATTGGACTCAATAAACCAAGAGGCCTCATTTATAACATTTGATCGGCACTTTTGTCTCGTGACCTGTAATGAATGATTTTGGCGCCTAGGCGCAGTAAGTCCTGCATAAATTTTATTTGGGTTGGGCAATTGTATTTTTGCCACATGATGGATGCATAACGTCATTTTAACCACTCTTAAAATTAAAATTCAACTTTTTTTTCAAAAAAATATTGGTCAGATCTATCGACATCTACACTCTCTCATAAATAAAATATAAAATAAAATAATGTCAATAAAGTTTACAGCACAACAACTTAATTATCTTATCTATAGGTATTTAGAAGAATCAGGTTAGTGTTAAATGCCTTCACTGTTGAGGAGTACCACAGTTGTTCTTTTCTTATCATTCTATTTCTTTTTTGTAACAATTAACAAAACAAATATGCTTGAAATATCACTTATTGATTCAACTAGGCTTCAGATTAACAACTCTTGCCTTTAAAACTGAAACTCAAATTGATAAACTAGAAATTAATACAGAAGAAGTAGAACGTGGTGCATTAGTAACTTATATTCTTAAAGGTCTACAATATCGTGATATAGAATTACATACTAATTCGGTAAGGCTATATACATATACTTTTAAAAAATAAAAAATTTCAAAAAACAAAATATACATATATTCTATATATTATTCATACTTAAATTTTTGATTGCTAGGACGGCACTTCAATTAAATGTGATGTAACTGTACCTTTAATTGGTAAACATACTTGTAAAATATCCACAGTTTCCGAGCCACAAGTTATCATTGCTTCACATTCTGATTCTTATAGAACAAATGAAGTAAACCAAAATTTAAATGACGATAACATAGATAAAGATAAATCTCAAAAAGATTCAACAAAAAATCCATGTAAATATTATCACTTCATTCGTTATATCTTTATAGCATATTATAATAATAAAATTATTATTATTATTTTATTTTTACTACATATTTGTTTTACGTTATATTAACATTATATATCAAAAATTTTATCATTAATGCTATTTAGCGAGCAAAAAAGTTTCACGTAGACAAATTAGATCTAATAAAAATCCAAATGCTTCGCCCAAATTTGCAAAATTTTCTCAAGAAGAATTAAATAAAAATGCTTCTCCAAGTAAGAATAATTATTATAAATTATAATATTGTGATTATAAAATAAATGTTTTATTTATATTTTTTTAAGCTTCTAAAAGATCAGTAACGCGTAGATCATCGACTTCAAGAACCAAAAAAAATCAAGACCCTGTGTCTGCATTACAAGATTCTATCAATATAAACAATGAAATTTCTATAATGAAACATTCTACTAATGAAATAATAACAACTAGTTCATCAACTGGTATGGTTTTTTCTTGACCTCTTCAAATTGAGATTAATTTTACTTATTATTATTATTATAATAATAATAATAATAAAAGGAAACAGAAAAGAAAATTTGAGACCATTGAATAAAGAATATGTTACACTTGAAGGACATACCGGAGAAGTGTATTTTTGTAAATGGCATCCTGATGATCCAAATGTTTTAGCAACAGCGTGAGTTTCCTTGGAGATTTTTAAAATAATAACAATCATTATTAATAGATTTAAACTATTTAATTTAGAGGCCAAGATTCTGTCCTGAGAATTTGGAAACCTGATCCTAATCATCAAGAAAAATTTATTGAAGCCTTCCAAATGGTAAATGAAGAGTTGGGCTCTAATAATTTTATTTGTTCAATGGATTGGAGAGTAAGCATCAGAAGAAAATTATAAAGACAAAATATCAATATTCATATAAAATAGTAACAATAATACAATATACTTAGTATTATTATTATTATTATTATTATTGTAGCCAACTGGGAAACTTTTAGCAACATCTTATTTTAATGGTGTTCCGAGAATTTGGACAGATCAAGGTTGTTTAAAAACAAAATTAGATTCTCACAACAAAAAACCTGTTACCAAAGTAAAATGGAATCCATCAGGGTCTTTAATTCTTACTGCTGGTTATGATAAAATGATTATTTTATGGGAAGTAAATTCTACAACTGCAAAGCAAAGTTATCTTCATCATAATGGTTGGTAAAGTTTTTTGGGGGAGATGATAATATCAATTGATTGGTTGACTAATTAATTACATTTATAATTAACTTGTATTTTTTAGAAGTGGTGACAGATTTAGATTGGAAAAATGATACAATTTTTGCATCTTGTTCCTACGATAAATCGATATTTATCTATGACACTACAAAAAAAAATCCAATTGCACGATATCCTCATGACGATAAAATTTTTTGTTTAGCATGGGATCCTTCAAAAAATTATCTTGCATCGGGTTCTGCCGATACAACAGTCAAGGTACGCATTATATATAGTATATATATTTATTATTAAAAATTTTTTTAGAAAAAATCCCACATTCCGTTATATATTTATTTACTAAAATATTTATAAAAAAAGATATGGGCTGATGATGAAAAAAAACTACATAGAGTACTTAAACACCAAAGAGAGGTTGATATACTATGTTGGTCACCTTCCATCTCCAATATAAAACTTCTTGCAACATCAACAAAAGATAAACAAATATCTATTTGGAATGCAGATAGTGGAGAATGTCTACATACTGCTAATCAACTATCTAAACCGATCAAATATATTTCCTGGCGTCCAGATGGTGAATGGATAGCGTATGGTTCGACTGATTCGGTTGTAAGGTTCCTTTCAATAAAGGACGATATTATCACTCTTAAAAAATCCTATTCTGCTCCATTTGCTATCATTGGCTTGGATTGGAATTCAGATAAATCAAAAATTGCTGCTAGTCTGGGTAATGGCAAAATAATTATTTGGAATTGGAAATAAAAATGTAATATAAATTTAAAAATATAAAAAAACACACGCAAAAACTCATTCATGCTCATTCATAATTTTCGTAATTTTTATAATTTGCAAATAAATCATATTTAGAAATGAAAAATTTACAAAGCAATTTAAAGATTTTGTCGCAATTCCAATTCTGTTATTTTTATATTCTTCATTAATTGAAACTTTTCTATTTTAAAATTCAATTTTAAGTTTCTCGACTTCATTTCTTCTTTTTTATATCTTGAACATTTTATCCTTTTTTTCAGTTTCCAATTTTAACTCTCCAAACCTTTTCTCTGCTTATCGTTACTCCCTAATTGCCATCGCCACTATTTTTGCTGATAAATCGATTATGTTTTTTCTACGTTTAGACTTGTCAAGTAAATCATCTTCATCTTCAAGGTTATCAGTTTTGTTGTCGTTATATTCTTGGGCACGTTTTTGATTATCAACATCTACAAATTCGTACTTTTACCATCTCTACTTCTTCATTTCCAATTATTTTCGTTGGTGTAGATTTCCTTTTTTTTTATCTTGAAGTTTATTATCGTCATCATTATGATTACTAAAATTTCTTTGGTGTATTTATACCATTTCCCATCATATTGCTTATTATCGTATTTTTTAAGCATCGAATATATATTTCTTTTAATTACATTTGTTTGTCTTGATGACTTTATGCATTTTTCGACAAAATAATGATTTATAATTGATTTTTAAATCATTCAAAAGTGTTAACAATTTTTCATCCCAACAAATACTATTGTTTTTATCATTCTCGATCTTTTCTTCCTCTTCCTCTTTCATCACTCCTTCATCTTCAGCACCATATAATTTATAAACTATGCGAGTATTGTTCATTATTGTATATATATATATTTATTTATTTATTTATTTTTCACGTTAAATTTCTTCTATATTAGAACCGGGAAAGTATGACAAAATGAATTGAAACATCAATCTTCGAATATATCATACCGTGTCATCATTTTACTGATCATCATCTTGCCAATTTTTTGTAAAGCTAATTTTAAAAAACTGAGCATCTACCAAGAATCCCAAATGTATTACACAAAAACGTACATAACGATTATACAAAAAATTATATCAATTTGTAACTTAAGTTCTGAAGATTATATATATATATAATCACATGCTTATGGATTTATCAATTAAAAATAAAAGAACTTCAAATATTTTTGAAAAAAAAAAATAATCTGTGATTGTTCTAAAGCCTACATAATAATATGCTTCGAAATTTTAGATGTGGTAATTCAAAGATCTTTTGGACTTTATTTAGTTACTTGGAAAAAATTTTACAGTGCAGTTTTTCGTAACACACTCACTATATATATTAATATTATTTTTAAATGGACCATGTAAATAATCGAAGATATACCATTTTACCAGAAGATTTGACTTTCAGTTTTTGTTCCGTTGTTTTGTGCACTAATTAATTGTTTAATTATTTGTCCGGTTAATATTAAGTTAATTTGGATTCACTTTTTCTTGGATTTGTCATCCAAATTTATTTTTTCTAATCTGAAATTTCTACGATAGTGGGGCTTGAGATTGCGTTAGTAAACTTTTGATTTGTTTTTATTCATGATATTCATGTTAATCGTAAGTTTCTGGGGTTGGTCACAATGGTTGATCATCAAAAATAATAAACATCAATAATAAATTTTCATATACAGTCGCACCTGTCTATTTGCATACTGTTGGGACTGATGAGTTTTTATGCAAATAGACAGAATATGCATATTCACGTTATTGTGTGGTTGATGTTACATACAATCACGTGACATGAATGTAAAAATTGTTTCGTGTCATTCGCGTCATGGTTTTAATCAATTCATTAATTTTAATAGCTTAATCATAAATTTTTGAATTTTACTCAATTTTATACAAACATCATACATTTTGTTATCCTTTACATTTACAATGAAGAAAGTCACATTAAACAATCAACAACATTATCAAATCTGTTTAAAAAAGCAAGATGACCCAAGAATAACCCAAAAAGAATTAATTAATTGGTGTGAACAAGAATTTGGTATAAAAGTTGATCAAGCAACTATTTCCAGAACATTAAAG